CAGTTGTCAAATAAAGTTGTTTGTGACAAAGTCCCAAAATTGTTCGCAAAATAAATCTGAATAATTGCGATGACCATAACATTGAAATGTTTGTTCGAAAGAAGACTTGGAACTATGATAATACCACATATTATAGAATATAGTTATGTGATTTCTATATTTATTTCCAAGTTTGTCTCCAAAAAATAACTTTTTCACCATCAGTTCCCTCTTTTCATTACAAATCAACAAAATAGTCCCGTTTATAGTCTGCACATTCCTTCTGTTGGCTCCAAAATTAGGGTTCATTCCAGAAATATTGAAGAATATAGAAAGAAAAAAAAGTACAAAATAATTTTGACGAGAAAGTCTGGTAGGGCAAAGCTTAATGGCCATGCAGCTAGTTTTAAATTTAGTATTTTGTTGTCCTACGACAAAAGTGGTTTCCCGGTCACTGATTTCAACCTTTGTACAGCATGGAATACAAACTAAACATTACAAAATGAAGACAATGAATTTGTTTATTTGCAATATTTAATATTCAGTCATTCAAAGTGCTTGTTTGAAAATAAAACAATTCTTTCAAACAATATTAACATCAAACAAATAAACAGTAATCTATAATATGCTAAATCTGTGTGACCATTTATCATAGGTAGTCATAACATTTTTATGAAAAGTTTTTACAAATATGATCGTGATAAATTAAGACGACTTGAATAGTACAGAATCAATGTGCTTCTGAGTCTAAGCAGATGTTACATTCTGAGGAGGGAATCAAGAGAATTAATTGACAAAAGAATTGGTCAGTTGAAACGTGACAATCATGGACACTCCAGACGCCTGGCATCACTTACAATGACATTCTTTCAAATCAACCAATGTACTCGTAATTTACTTGTAACAGCTGACACAGCTAGATTGCAGGCATTTACTATAGAGGTCTCAGAGATCCCGTCTGCTGTGGCAGAGACCAATGGCCTCGCCGTTTGGGTGATTAAATTTAGTTTTAGAAGTGATATGGCATATCCTGCTGTTGTATTTCACAAATAAAATAAAATATGGATATACTGCATCATGGGTAATTAATTACTAAGTAATTAATATTCACAGATTTCATCTATTATCCCATGGCTTCGATGAACTAAGTTTCGTTGAAATCAGTCAAGTGGTTCCAGTGATAGAGAAAAGCTTAAAAATTATGCAAATTGAACATTTTTCAATTAAAGTTCTATGACTGTAAAACAAAATTGCCACAGGTCGGCCATTTTGAATTGAGCCAGAAAAAGGTGTGTCCCAATATGTCTAACATAAGTATTAAGCTTAATAAACACAATTCATCCATAGATGACCAAAATCCTGTTCTGGTATGGCAGAAATGCTTCATTTCGATGAATTGTTAGCATTAGAACATGACCATCTTCAATTGAACCATAAAAACGAATGAATGTGTATGTATATATGTATGTATATCCTAATATAATAATATTCGAGTAAAGTTTGAAGATTCAAGGCATGTCAAAAATATTATCTCTGAAACCGCATTCATTAAAACAAAACAACCACCAGTCGACCATTTTGAATCAGTAATCTTTCCAAGGTCGAGTCCCAGAATGACAGAAATTCCAAACTATTAAATTTATAATGGTCACCACTGAGCCATATCTCAAATCAGATCATGAAACAAACAAAGTTCTACACATATAATAAACATCCCAATATGTATAATGTATGTGTCAAGCATGAAAGGTGAAATAAGTTTCTGTTTTAAGATCGTGTCTGAATGGACACTAATTATTATCTTTAGAGAATTTAATTTCAACTAAGAGGCTTGATTATTAGAGTCAAGTTATGTAGTATTAATGATGGCATATGATTATTATCAACTTGCCCCTTGCCCGAAGATGGAAAATGGATTACAACAAGACATGAAATGTCAGTCCCAGTTATTTGAATATAAAATACAGGTAGTACAAGGAACATCTGCAAACAGGTGAATAAATATGTACTCTTTGTGGGTACAACTCATCATCAAGTGATTTCCCATAATCTAGTTTTGTACTGACAACTAAAAACTTCCACTGATCCATGTTCAGAATCTCAGAGTACACAAGTGCAACAAAACTACACTGTATTTGTCATACATGTATACTTGCTCAAGAAACTGCATTCATAAATCTGAGTGAACCTTGATGTACATGACTTCTTTGTTAATCGGGTCTTAGTATATTACCAGGACCTGGGTTTATTTCAACATCACCACTGGGTATCAGATTTATTCTCATGTTGTCAAATACAATTTGTTAACACAGTAAGGTTTATTATTTAAAATGTATTCATTGTACATAGAACAACATCTGTTAATTTAAACAATTGTAAAAGCTATGTTTTCAGAGCAAGTACATGTAATAATTAAGAAAGCCAGTAGTGATAAAGGTTGGTCTGCTCATAACCTTCAATGGAGAAGTAACAATAATTGTTCAAAGTCTTTTTAGTGCAGTGATATTATTGCATTTCAATCATTATTAATGGGTATAAAATACTGTAAACCATTTAATTTTCACTTCTAGATACATTCAGGATTTTATGAAATTTGTGTACAACATTTCAATAAAGTCCCTGACACTCCATGTTGTAGGAACCCAGAAAAAATTGCCTTGCGAAATTGAAGCAGTTCACAGCACCACTGTAAAAAAAAAGAAAGAAAAGTTTAAAATGAGTATTGTCCAAGATATACACATGTGGGTTCATAAGACATATGTACCAATCTGAGTGGTTCTAGAGATTAGTATCACAAGATTTTACTCTCCGTGATTCAATATCAGCCCTATGTATAACGCTGTGTTGATCAGGTGAACTAATTGACAATGGCCCTACAGGTATCGCTATGCAATCACAGTAGTTTTGTATTCTTCTTGCATTTCGACCATGCAAAAATATTTGTTTTTGAAAGTGGCTGAATTATTAGAAGAAAAACAGAAACAATTTTTTTTAGTATAAATTCTAGTAACTGAAATGCAGGATTGGAAAAGAACAAGACAATACGCAAGATTGATAAACCTTCAGCCAGCACTTGGTACCATGTTTTTTATTGCTCAATCACTTGACCCTGTATGGCACAAGATCGCAAGCTTCTATCATAAAATTGGGTTATTCATTTGATGCAACGAAACATGCATTCACAGCAGACGGAAATTCATTTGAGATGTTACTGGATTTTCGTATTCAGTTTTTCATTTCAACCACCATCATCACTTAGTAAGCCGAGATCGCGCATTGGGATACTGACTGTGCATAAATGCGCAGTGTAGTGCCACCAGAAAACCGATTGTTTGAGAATATTTTGCACCATTACGCCATTTCA